ATCTTCTACCTTTACATAACAGGTGGTCTTGGTTCTCTCTCTCTCTCTCTCTCTCTCTCTCTCTCTCTCTCTCTCTCTTTTGTACCGGGGATTGAACTCAGGTCTTTGGGCTTGCAAGGTTCTTTTTTAATTTCATTAAAAAGTTTGAGGAGTAGCAGCATTAGATCTTCTCTAAATTTCATGTTGAATTCAATAGTGAATCCATCAGAAACTGGGCTTTTCTTTGCTGGTACATTTTCAATTACATCTTCCACTTCATTGACTGATGTTGGGCAATTTAGAGCTTTTGTATCTTCTTGATTCAGCTTTGGTAATTCATACATATCTAGGAATCTATCCATTTATTCTTTGTTTTCCATCATATTAGAACAAAGTTTCTCAAAGTTGGTATTGATGATCTTCTGGATCTCGTCAGGATCCGTTGTGATTCACCTTTTTCATTCCTAATTACATGGATTGAGTCTTTTATTTCCTTTTTTGTGATAAGGTTAGCTTAAGGTTTATCTGTTCTATTCAATCTTTTAAAAAAAGCAAACTCTGATACATTGATTCTTTGCATTGTTCTTTTAGTCTTGATTGCATTAACACCTGCTCTGATCTTTTAAATTTTTTCTCTTGTACAAGATTCAGACTTTCTGAAAGCTTGACATTCAACATTAAATTGTTTATTTTAGCTTGCTCTATTATTCTGATATGAAAATTCACTGCTATAAATTCCTCTCATAGTACTGCTTTAATTGCATCCCATAAATTCTGATACGTTGTGTTGGCATTATCATTTAATTGTAGAAACTGTCTAATTTTTTCTTTGATTTTCTGTATGACCCATTTATTGTTCAGGAGGATGTTATTTAATTTCCATGTGTTTATGCAGTTTTGGTGATTTCTTATGCCATTGATTTCTAATTTCATTGCACTATGGCCTGATAATACGAATGGGATAATTTCAATTCCTTTGCATTTACCTAAGCATGTCCTATAAGCTAATATATGGTCTATTTTGGAGAATGTCCTGTGTGCATTTGAGATGAATGTATTCTGATGTAGAGTGGAACACTGTAGACATTTGTTCAAAAGTTTGGTTCAGTTCTGATATTTTTTAAAAATTTTTTTCTAGTTGATCTGCCTATTTGTGATAATGGGATATTGAGTTTCCCCCATTACAATTGTATTAGTATTTATTTGATTTTCCATGTCTGTTACAATTTGTTTTATATAGTTGAGTTTGCTGGTTTTGGGTGCATATATATTTATGCTTGTTATCTTCCTCTTAGATTGTTCCTTTAATAAGTATATAGTGACCTTCTTTGTCTCTCTTGATCAATCTTGGCTTGAAATCTACTTTTTCTGCAAATAGAATAGCTACCCCTGTTTTTTCCAGGTTCCTGTCACATGGGGTGTTGTTTTCCATTCTTTGACTTTCAATTTATAAATTTTGTTTGAGTGAAATGTGCTTCTTTTTTTTTTTTTTTTATTGAGTTTATTGGTACATTTAGGGATACAGTACAGTTACATTCATTTATTTTCTTTTCATTGGTAAATTGAGACCATTTACATTGATGGTTATAACTGATATGTATTGACTTACCCTTGTCATGTTATTTTCCTGTTGTTGGTTCCTTTTCTTTCCCATGTTTAATTGCTTGCCTTTCCTGGTAGGTTCATTCTGTTGGGGTTCATAGGGTTGTAGTCTTCATTACCTCTTTCTAGAAAATTCTTCAGAACATTTTGGAGAGCTGGTTCAGTGTTTGTGAATTTCTTCATGTGTTTTTTTTGTCATGGAAGTATCTTATTGCTCCATTAATTTTGAAATTTTGTTTTCAGGGTACATCATCTAAATTGGAGACTGTTTTCTTTTAAGGTTTGAAATACTTCACTCCAAGCTCTCCTTGACTTAAGGGCTTGTGTTGAGAAGTTCACTGTGATTCTGATAGACTTTTCTTTATGGGTGATTTGTTTCTTTTCTCTAACATCTTTTAATATTCTGTTCTCATATTGAATTTCTGGAACATTGTCTATATATGCCTGTAGTTTTGTTTTGTTTTGTTTTTCCTTCATCATGGCTAAGTGAAGTTCTATATGCCTCACTTATCTGTATGTCAAATTGTTTTTTCATGCTTAGGAAATTTTCTACCATTACTTCTGTGAATAGTTTTTTTGTATTATTTGCACTAACTGCTTTTTCATTGACTCCAACCAAAATCTTATATTATTCTTCTTTGCATCATCTAGCAGCTAGTTGGATTGATTTTTGTAGTCCCTTGCCATTTTTAAGAAATCTTTCTTTTATGACTGCTAACCACAAACCTGTCTTCTAGACTTGATATTATGTCCTCACATCAGTTCATGCTGCTGAGTATACTTTTAATAGAATTTTTAATTTCCTGGATATCTGTTTGGATCTGTTTCATGGATTCCATTTCTTCCCTACATTGAGCATTCATGGGTCCCATTATTTCCCTAAGCTCCACTAGTTTTTGTCTGTATCTACTCTAGATTCACTAACTATGTCTTTCATATGGCCATCATCTCTTTAGTTATCTGAGAAATCATTTCTCATTTGATTTTTTTTCTAGAGCTTCATTTATCTGTTTTGTTACTTCTACTGTTATCATTGCAGAGAGTTCAGGTAAGTAGCTTTCAAATTGTTCCACCTCATTTCTCCCCAGTTTGCCTCTGGTGAGCTGGAAGTATGGGTTGCATCTTGCTTCCTTGTCTTCTCATTTTCTACTTTTCTACTTTAATTTCTGCATTGATGCTTGTAAATTATTTGTGGTAGATAGTTTTACAGCTAGTATTGTGAACACTTAGGAAATGGCTACTTTTCAGAGATATCTTCCAGATGTAGCTAGCTTTTGAATCTGTTGTAAGGTCCTACCTCCCCAATTTATTGGGGACAAGAAGTTGCTGCCTGTTTGTCCTAGCCACTGGTTCTTTGATATTGGCCTATAGTATTCTTTATGACCCTCAGGCAATATCAGTCTTGGCATTCAAAGAGGAACAACTGATTAGAACAACTGTTACCTTGGCTAAAGAAGTACAATCCATAATAGCAATAGCACCAAGCTGAGCCTAAAAAAATGACAAACTTTGTTATCTATTAATTTGCCACTTTTAAACATATGAACAAGATTTATAGTTATAAAATAAACCAGAAAATTGTAGGCAATAAATATACCCTCAGTTTGGTGATTTTATCCTCGGGGAATAAAATTTAAATGGGCTTATGAAAAATATTGAGAAATAGAAGAGTAAGAAATTAAAAGCAGGCCAGGGATTTAGCTCAGTGGTTCTGCTGCCTGCCTTGAAAGCACAAGGCCCCAATTCGATCCCTGGTACCAAAAAGAACAAAAAAAAAAAAAAAAAAAAAAAAAAGAAAAAAAAAAGAAATTAGAAGCAAAGCTGAAGGACAAAGGAAAATTACACAAGCTTTAGGAAACTGGTGAAGAAGGCAGGAGGGAAAGAAAGAAGAAAGAAGCAGAACCAATAACAGAACAAAAAAAACCCCTAGAAACAATATTCATAAAAACAAGAACATGCAATAAAGAAAGGAAGGAAAAAAGGCCACTTCAAGGTGTGTTGCTGCTGTCACTGGTAGAGCCTAGAGCCATGCTGGTTGATCTCAGCAAGCCTGCAATAGAATTACAGGGGGATGGTAGATAATCCTAGCAAGCTTGCATTTTCGGCTTCACTGAAGTTCAGGCTGCTTCTGGTCTCTGGCTGCAAGGCTGGGACCCATGTTGTTCAGCCCACAACACTCTGGGTGCCTTTTGCCAGCTTGAATTTGGCTCACTGCCCCTAGGTGTCTCTCACAGCTGTGCTTCACCTTGACACTTGGAGACCTGAAATGGAGTCAACCCACTGATGATTTGAGTCCTGAGTTCAATTGGCCTCTGCCCAAAATGCTGACTGGCCAATTGCCTTCTTCTGGGGAGGCCAAAGCTGGATGGGGCACACTTACCAGTTACTGCAATTCACAGTATCCACTGTTCCATTCCACTGGAACATTTCTCCATGAAGGCCTTCAGAGTTACCAGTAGCCACCATGCCTGGGCAGACAGGTTTGTGCCACACCTCCCATGCCTCAAGCCAGGACTCGGGAAGAAAATGCTGCTTGCTACCTCCCTCTTCTGCATTCAGGTGTCTCTCTTTTCTCTCCCTGTGAACTCCAATTCTTGCTTCAGATTCTTGCTGAGTCCCAGGGATCCATTTCTGTCCTTCTTCTTTTCCACATGTTGTTATATTCCAGCATCAGTACTCCAAATATCCAGCTTTCTGCTTAACCTACACAGTCTCAGGCTCAGAGGGAAATGATGAGTTGGCCTGAACAAAGCTCTGCTGGCCAATCTTTCCTGGTCTCTACCTTGCTCACATACTTTCCCCAAGGCCTGACTTGGACCTACTGATTCCTTTCCAGGAAGGACCTCATAGCCTTGTACCCATGGCTATACTCCCAGACTCTGCATTCCCTCAGGACATAAGGCTACTTCCCACACACTCTCCAACAGAGGATTTTAGCTCCACTGCAAGGGAGAGGAATGTGTAGAAGGAATGGTCATGTCTTTAAATCCACCACAATGACAAGACAAATTTGATACAACTGCTTGTCCATCTGTCAATGCCACCTCTGGAAAATGAATAAGCACAGATTCCACCTTGTCTTACTGAATAGACCTCTGCAAGCTGTTGGTTATTTGAAGGAAAAGCAGACATTTCTTCTACTACAATTCAATTCCAGTGCCTCTTGATATGACATTGTTGAGATTTTTTTGTTTTGTTTTGTTATTTGAGGTGGTACCATGCCAACTTTCTCAAACTGGCCTCTAACTCTTGGGTTCAAGCGATTCTCTGCCTTAGCCTCCTGAGTAGGTAGCTCTACCAATGTACACTATCACACTCAGCTTCTGAAAGCTCTTGAAGGACATGTCGGTAATAGCATCTGTGGTACTGTAACCGTTTGAATGATTTATCAACACTTTATCTTTTTCCCACAACTATAGGGACAGGAAGACCATGGCTCAGGAAGATGAACAGTGAAGACAATAGGACAGATCATCTCATCTGTCTGCAGATTCCATCACCACTCCCAAGTCAGAGAAGGGTTGCCTGTATTTTCTTGTTGCCACCTCTCACTTTATTTGCTTCTCTCTGCTGCCATGGCTATTGTGCTATTGACCCTTACCTATTACACACAGCCCTGCCTTCTCAGGAAGAGCAGAGGGGAGGGAAGAGGACAGAAAATGGCCTTTATCATTATCTCAGGCTCAAAACTGTACTGAAGATATTAGTCATAAAAGGGCTAAGATGAGGGCTTAGTAAATTGTCTTATTGAAATGACTGCATTATGATATTTATACAGGGTATTGAGTTTTATTTTGTTTTGTTTTTACCGGGGGTCAAACGCAGAACTTTGTGCTTACAATGCAGGTGCAGTGCCACTGAGTTAAGTCCCCAGCCCTTGAGTTCTCTTAGAGCAAATGTGGCTTTTTAAAATTTTTTAGTCTACTTTGCAATGGATATTTCCATGTGTTGTCTTTCAGGTAGCTGGGTGATTTCATCCTCAGACCTCCAACAAGTGCTATAAAGAAGACATTTTGAAGAATCAACCAAGTTCTCTGTGAGACCAAGTTAAATCACTGTCTTAACCACAGAGAGGAGAGATGAAGCACATTATACACTCAAATGGAAATTTGAATGACACAGTGAGAAACAATTCAGACTGTCCCCATGTGGCTTTGCCAGAAGAGATATTTTTTGTAATCTCCATTGCTGGAATTTTGGAAAACCTCATCATCCTCCTGGCTGTGATCAAGAATAAGAACCTCCAGTCCCCCATGTACTTTTTCATTTGTAGTTTGGCCATTTCTGACATGCTGGGCAGCCTGTATAAGATTGTAGAAAATGTTCTGATCATGTTCAGAAACATGGGTTATCTCAAGCCCCATGGCAGTTTTGAAACCACAGCAGATGACATCATTGACACCATGTTTATTCTTTCTCTGCTTGGCTCCATCTTCAGCCTGCTGGCCATTGCTGTTGACCGCTACATCACCATCTTCCATGCCCTGCAGTACCATAGCATTGTGACCATGTGCCGCACGATTGTCATCCTGGCAATCATCTGGATTTTTTGCATTGGAAGTGGCATTGCCATGGTGATCTTCTCCCATCATGTCCCCACAGTGCTCACCTTCGCGTCACTGTTCCCTCTGATGCTGGTCTTTATCCTCTGCCTCTATGTACACATGTTCTTGCTGGCTCGCTCCCATGCCAGGAACATTTCCACCCTTCCCAGAGCCAACATGAGAGGGGCCATCACCCTGACCATCCTACTGGGGGTCTTCATCTTCTGTTGGGCCCCTTTCATCCTTCATGTCCTCTTAATGACCTTCTGTCCCAGAAACCCTTATTGTACCTGCTACATGTCCCTCTTCCAGGTGAATGGCATGCTTATCATGTGTAACGCAGTCATTGACCCCTTTATCTATGCCTTCCGGAGTCCAGAGCTCAGGGGTGCATTCAGAAGGATGATGTCCTATAGCTAGAACCCATAGAATCACTGATCCTGATTTAAAAATCCACGGGGATAATATCATCAACAGAGAGATCATGTCATGGAACACAATAACATAACACTGTTACCAGGTTTTGGGGTGCTGAAGTCTCCTAGAAGTGGTTTCTGGGTTCTTTCTTCTCAAAAAATTGAATGAAAGAAGTAAAACAGTAGTAAAGTTACATTTATTTAAAATAGGAAAAATTAAACATGAAGAATAAGGGAGAAAGTAGCCCTGCAGAGTGAAATTGGGCCAAGTAAAGAGAGGAAAAATAAAAATCATAATATAAAACAAAAGTGCACCCTGGGGGCACAGGGAGGGCTAGTGTGAAGAGTCATGGTAGTGATTGCTTAAGGGTGACTGTCTCTTTTTGTTCATTCCATATATCGTGGGTTCTCACAAGTCCATATTTGAGTTCCTAAGAAGTGCTCTGCTCAGATGTCCCGGGATCTGGTCATATTTACTCCACGACCCAGCTTTGACACACCCTGCCTTCCTGCCTCAGTACTACCAAATACTAATGCTTCCCACCCTGTCCTTTTTTTATGGGCAGGAGGATAATACTAATGTTCCTGTGTGAACAGCCCTATTACAAGGGCATACTGTACAACTTCATCACTAGGGGGATAAAATGATGAGCCTGAAACAAAGATAGAACATGAAGCACACATGACAATACAAACTTGAGAGCTACAGGCCAGAACCAACAGTTGCTCCATGGATATCTAGCAAGTTCTTCCAAGAAGTCTTCTAAGCTGAAGGCCATGGAAGTCTGTATGGAGAAGTTAAAGTAGCTGGGCAAGTGTGTGAGTCAACTTTCCATCACTTTAGGAGATATACAAGATTAATCAACTTAAAAGGAGGAAAGATTTATCTTGGCTCAGATCCAGAGGTTTCAGTCAGTGAGCACCCACCCCACTGCCTGTGGAACTGTGGCGAGGCAGCACACTGCAGCAGGAACACACAGCAGAGAAGGCTGCTCACCTCAGCAGCCAGGAGACAGAGACAGGAAGAGACCTGTATCCCACAGTCCCTGTAAAGGGCACATCTCTAATGACATCCTGAAGATCCCACCACCTTCCAACAACATCAAGATAAGGACAGGGCTGACAAGACGTGAATGTGCCTCCTGGGGCCACTTAAGAGAAGCACAGCAGCAAACAATTCAGGGCAGAAACCATCAGATCATTGTAAGCCAGGGGTGCTGCTAGCTTCGGTTGATTGCCTATCTTCATGGCCATGCAGCAGTAAGTGCCCTCTCTCCCACCCTTTGCCTGCCAGACTTATCTAAAGCATTTCAATTATCTTCGGAAGCAGCCAGAGTATAAATTACTGTGTCAAATAACCACCTAGGAGTTTCCAATAATAACAAACCTTCACCTTGAGTTGTGTTTGCTCTCTCAATTTCTCACTCAAATGTGTCAGTGTCTGGATGCAGGCCAGAGTCACCTGGCCTTAAAATCCATGCCTGGTTAAATCACGCCATGCTTTAGAAATGTAAAGTTCAGAGGAGAAAATAAACAATTTCATCTGTTTGGTTCCTATGTGGGAATGCATAAAGGTCAAAGGAAAACTGATTATTTGAAGTAGATGGGACAAATATTTGTGTATTTTTCCAAATAAATTTTGTGCAGTAGGGAGAGTGGCAGAGACAGACAGACAGAGAGATCTCATCCTGCACTTGGACTATTAGAAAACCAAGACCAAAACAATGCACCAAGCAGCAGGCTACTCCTAGAGGCCCAAAGATGTGATGAAAAAGATTCCACCTCTTCCTCAGGTGACTGACAAGCAGATGCAGTCCCTGGAAACTTGTATGCTGCCCATTAGCCACAGTCAAGATGCCAGATGTGGAGAAGTGGCAGCTGAACAGGAATAAAAGGACACAGTGTTGTTTCATCCAGGTTTCATGGATGCAGATAAAGCTAAATGCAACAGCCAGAGGGCCAGAAAGGCTGAGTAACAGCGGGACAGAAGAGTAGGAGCTAAGGGATCCACTGCAGAACACTGTGGCCTCTGGAGCCCACACTTTGCAAGTTTCAGAGAAGCCTGGTCCTGACAGACAAGAACTGGCTGCCCAAAGTGGAAGATGTCAAGGGACAGAAGAGAGGCAGACAGCTGTCAGGGGCCGGGGTGCCAGTGTCTCCAGCACAGGAGGGTGGAGGAAAGTGTTGACACACTGAGCTGGCCAGAGAGGCTTGGGCACCTGAATCACATCTGGCCTTTCTCAAAAACTCACATGCCCAGCCTCAGTCAGGAACAGCTTGGCATCGTGGCCAGTGCACTATGCACCACCAATGTAAGTGTGCCAGGATCTGGACACAGGCCAGGGTCACCTGGGCAGACAGAGTTGCCACCAAGACAGCTGTGGCCACGTGAATCTGGGTGCATCTCCTGCAGGATAGTTTGAGAAGACAGCTGTGAGCCAGCTAGACGGCTTGGGGGTAGCCTTGGTGATAGACACAAGGAGGACAAGAGCCTCAGGAAAGAGAAAGGCTGCACGAGCACATTTCCAGTGTTTCCATGTGCTCGTGTCACCAATCAGGGCAAGCTCACAGGGCATCTCCTCCTATTCTGTTCTGTAGGAATTCTTTCTGGCCCTCTCCCCACCGGATGGACTGTTTTTCTAACATTAGCCTGAGTTTATTAACACATATTATACATTTAAATTTAATATGATGTATTTAAATTTTTTAAAACTTATTATAATAAAAGACACTGTCATGAAGCCCACTCAAAATCCTACTCCTCATTTCAAATACACTTAACCCATTGTTCTTGCTACTTTCTAGAGCAGTTCTGAAGTGAGGAGGATTTCAAGGGGGATCGATGGCAATGTCTTTTACTGTAACAGTTTTATTTAAGCATTCACCATATTTTCAATTACCTCTTTCTTGTATGACACTACCTGTAATTTTTTAAGTGTAAAATCTGAGGTACAACTTCATACGTAACTTTAAAGGGCTATTTTTTAAAATTGAGTTTATTGGTACAATCTAGGTACACAATACAGTTACATTCATCATTGGGATTCTGTACCTTTACATAATAGGTCTTGATTCTCATTTTTTCCCTTGTCCCTGCCCTCCCTTCACCCCCTCCTCCCCTCCCCATTTACAAACATTTTATTTCCATTTTTTCAGTTTCTCATATTTTTTCCTCTCCCTTATTACCTTTCCCCCACCCTTCCCACTTTCCCTACACCTTTAGCTCTTTACTTCCTATTTCACATTATTAATTATCTCATTAGGATCCTGTGTACTATTATAGTTTTTGCACCAAAGAAACTATTTGATGTTTCAGTTAAAGAAATCTCTGTATGAACATTAAAAATAGGAAACCCTAAAATAAAACTAAAAAGGAAAGTAAAAGAGAAAAGGCAATAATGTAACATTAAAATAATCCTTAATTCTGGAGATGAAAATGGTCCCCAAACATATTTAAATTGCTTCTTGCTCTTATAGTCTATCTTATTCTTTTTTACATTATTTAGAGAATACTTTATTAATTTATGTAATCAAACAAACATAGATATGACCTTACATATTTAGTATGATATGTTACACCTGTACACATGGAAAAAAATAAAAATAAAAATAAATTAACATTTCTAGACCAATATGGCTGTCCATTTCTATACAATGCCAATTCAACACAGTAAATTGGGATGACTTTTTCCAAAGTTGGCAGCACTGTTAAGGTTTCCCAAAATTCAATTTTATATATATATATATATATATGTGTGTGTGTGTGTGTGTGTGTGTGTGTGTGTGTGTGTGTATTTATATTTATATAAAAAGACTAATAATAGCAGTATGTAATGCATTGATAGCAGCAACAGCTTTTCCAGGTTCTGCAGTCATCTGAACAAAATTATAGACATTCAGCACATTCCATTAAAAACAAAACAAAACAAAAAAAACAAAGAAAAGAATAATATCCAGAAAACAGCAAAGTTCTGTTGCTGTTGTGTTACCTGGGACCATTTTTATTTTATTAGCATCTTAATCATCATCTGGAAAGAGACATTCTAGAGTAATATCATTAAATTCAAAACAGAAATAATTTCCCAGATAACCATAGAGATAGTGAGCAAAATGGAAGTCATGATTCGAGACTCTAGAGCAGAAACTGACAAAAAAATAAATGAACTCAGGACCATGATAGAAGCCATGAAGGCCCAGCATAAGAAAGAAATGGAAAAAATAAATGCCCAACATAGGAAAGAAATGGATTCCATAAAACAGATTCAAACAGATATCCAAGAGATTAAACACTCTATTGAAAGTGTATGCAACAGAATAAAAGAATGCTAAGATAGACTCTCAGATATAGAAGATAAGATTGCAGTCAGTGACCATGAAAAGAGAGATCTCTTAAAAACAGTAAGAGATCATGAGAAATCGATCCAACTCCTAGATGATGCAAAGAAAAATAACATAAGACTGATAAGAATACATGAAGTAGCAGGAGAAAAATGCAAATGACTTTAAAAAACTGTTTGCAGAATTAATGACAGAAAACTTCCCAAACAGAGGGGAAGAATTTGACACTCAGATAACTGAGGCATATAGGACCCCAACTAGCTACAATCAAAAAAAATCTACACCTAGACACATAATAATCAAGGTCCCAGAAACCCAACAGAAGAACAAAATACTACAAGCGGTAAGAGAAAAGAAGCAAATCACATACAAAGGAAAGCCCATCAGAATCACAGCAGACTTTTCAACACAAACCCTTGGGGCAAGGAGAGCCTGGAATGAGATATTTCAAGTACTAAAAGAGAACAACCTCCAACCTAGACTGATGTATCCAGCAAAACTCTCTTTCAAAATGGATGGGGAAAGAAGACACTTCCATGACAAAGAACACCTGAGAAACTACATGAATACCAAACCAGCACTACAGGGAATTCTAAACAATATCCTAGAAAAAGACAATGAAAGCAACAACACCATGAGGCCCAACAGAGCAAATCAAACAGCCAAGGCAAGAAATTAAAAGGAGAAGGTGAAAAAGTAAAAAGAGTCAACAAAAGGCCAATAAGAAGACACTTCCATGACAAAGAACACCTGAGAAACTACATGAATACCAAACCAGCACTACAGGGAATTCTAAACAATATCCTAGAAAAAGACAATGAAAGCAACAACACCATGAGGCCCAACAGAGCAAATCAAACAGCCAAGGCAAGAAATTAAAAGGAGAAGGTGAAAAAGTAAAAAGAGTCAACAAAAGGCCAATAGCATGTCAATAATAAGTCAACTGAAAGTGAAAAGATAGAAAACAATTCTCCATGTGACAGGAGCCCAGAAAAAAAACAGGGGTAGCAATCTTATTTGCAGACAAAGTAAATTTCAAACCAAAACTGATTCTAGTATTATTGATATAGGACGGTACTGTATCATACCTCTATAAATGTAAAATATCTTGTACCTGCTTTATGATACATAGCAGGGACTGTGCTTTAAAAGGGCTATTTTTATTCTTGGAAAAGTAATGTAGATCTGTGATTAAACTGTGTTTTCAATCTAATATAACTTTTCCCTGAGGCTGCCCAGGTCTGGGGTACCTGGTGGTAGGGAATGCACTGTAGCCTGAGGCAAGATCCTGTGCTCTCCTCAGGAGTGGCTGTCATCTGCATCATCAGCCCTTGTCTGAGAAGGGCCTGGAACTCCTCTCTCTGTCCTTGCTGAGTTCTGTTTAATGCGGGAAAGAAGGCTGGCCTGGTGCAAATAAAGCAGAGACAGTTTGAGTGCTGATTCAGACACATTTCCAACTCTAGGTCATTAGTGCTTCTGACTGTTAAAGACATTATGGACCCTTCCTCTAGTCTGTGTATAACTCAAAGTAAACCCATCTCTGATCACGTTTGTATGAAGGAAATCAGTGAGCCTCAGGGTTTCCCCTTGATGTACCTCACTGCTGTTATCAAATTGTCAGATTTTTAAACTACTCTGCAGATGCCACACGTATGTGCTAGGAGATGATAAGAACTGGTGGGACCCCAACCCAGCTTCCCCTGGCCTTCTCAGGACAGAGAGAGGCAGGCATCCCCAAACCTGGAGTCCAGGTTCTTTCCACAGAGCTGCTCACAGAGCAGGTGTTGTGATCTGACCTCATGGCTCAGAGGCCTCGGTCCAGGATTACAGTTTCAGCCTCCCTGTACCCAAGATGAAGATGACCCTAACCTTCCCCTTCTGTTGACTCCAAGGTTGACCATGTTAGAGCACTGCATACATTGAACTCAGGAAGTGTGAAACATTGATGCCAACAGCCCCAAAGTGTGCTCCATGTGAACACATCTGTGTGGGCACACACCTCTTGGCCAGTGCCCACAAGTTCTAAGCAGTCCTCAGGACTCTGGCTGCCACCTGCAGACCTCTCCTTGGAGCAAGAAGGACAGGAGCATGGGTATTCAGCTTTGGCCCAGAATCTAGAGGGGAACTCAACATTCAGACTGTTTTAAGACAATGCTATATGTTGTTTGATTGTTTTTCTTATTTAAATAGAGAATGTTTCATATTTCTCAAAAAGCAAACCTTGAGA